TAAGTTAAAAGTTAAAGTTACTACTATACCTAACTACTACGTAACTACTACTACTATTTATTATATATATATATATATATATATATATATATATATATATATATTTTTTTTTTTTTCCTGTAAAGGTACACCTCATCTAGGATGTTCCAAGTAAGCTATATTTTAAAACTCAAAATTGATAGGGCGGATCGTTCACCTATAAATACATGTTGGATCCGTGGTTTGGTGATATGAATTGGATCTGGATAAGTCTGAATTTGTGATCTATAAAAATGTTAAAAATAAAAAAAACTAAAATAAAAACTAAAATAGGGGTATAGGGAAAGAATTTAAAGAGGACCTAAAAAACATTAAATAAGCAAAAAAACAAAAAAATATATATATAAGAGCGGGTTCTAGGGTAGAATCGGGTAGGGACCCATGTCATTGTGAAACCGGTTTGGTCGTAGCCGATTGCCGTATAGATGGACAATTCATATTAGGAATCACAGGTTTTTAGAACAACGCATGCAAGTAATTTCGATTGTTGGTTGAGAACTTAGGACGTATACAAAGAGTATTTACTTTTGGGAAAGCTTTTTATGTAAACCCATCCACATATATAATATATGCCATCTTTGATCTCAGTCATCAGATTTGAGTAGGTGGCTCAGATAGCTTGAATCACAATGTCAAAAATTAGCTCTTAATTGTCATACCTTGATTGGACAACTCATATTTTTTTTGTTTTAATTTTTACTATATATATCATTTTGAAGTAAAATTTGGGATATGTATAGATCTAATAGAGGCACACATGATAAAATAAAAATAAATAATTTATGGTGATAAATAATTACCAGAATACCTTTGAAAATTTCAAAGGTATTTTTGTCATTTATATTCATAGGAAATATTTGTTTTTTATTTTTTTCTGGGTTCACCTAGGTTTATGAGATGATGCTCAAAATTTCATCCAAAATGCGTTCTATAAAAGAAATAAAAAATGAAATAGTATTTGACATGACATTGCGACATGAACAATCATGGCCGTTGAGTTTGAATCAAACGGCTAAAAAGTGGGGCCATATATAATTTATATGTCATTGGGGTTACACAAAATTTTCCCATTTAATTTTAGGTTACACAAAGTTTTTTCATTTAATTTTAATACAAAGAGATCGCAAGCACTCTTTATCCATGGATGTCAAAAAGAATTTTTTTCAACTTTTCGCCATCTAATTTGAAATCCTATGACATGAGTAATTGTGACCTCTATAACAAAAATAAATAGTTTCATCATGCACAATCCCAATTTTATTTTATAATGGACGTGGTTAACATGCGGCCAACCTACATAAAATACGGGTTTGGAAATAAACAAATTTCTATTTATAATTTGATCTTAATTTTTATAATATATATAATATTTAACATAAAGATCATGAATATGAAAAAAAAAAAAAAAAAAATTTAAAAACTAAAAATAATAATTATAAAAAAAAAGATGTTAAAAAATTTAATTATAATAAAAAACATTAGGACCATTAGTTACAATTGTTTTGTTTTTCTGATGGACCACCTATTACATCTGGACGGCATATTGTAGAAATGCGGCCCAGCCCGCATGAAGCAATTGTTCTTTTATTATCCGGGCAGGGTTCCAATAAACAAGAAGTACTTTCGATGGATTACTGGCTGGCAGAGAGGTTATTATTCCGGTTGAAATTCATAACTGCATTCCGACATTTCGCCGCAATCGTGGCTGCAAAGATCGAAACAAACACTTTCTTTAATCCTTCCTGAACAAACTTTAATCGTTCCTGAGCAAACTTCTCACCTTTCGAAGATTACAGTATGAAGAATGCATTATTTCCTTTGAAAAATAAAGGTCGCCATCACAACAAGAAATAATGGCAATAGCAATCAATTATCACCATACCCGAGGACCCCATATTATGACATTGCCATGTGACTACAATATACTAATACTTTTTGGGCTTCAATAAAGCCACAATGCAAGACACTCATTTATCATGGATCCATGAAATTTTCACCTATCAAACTAGAAATTTTCAAGGCAATGACCCACTTACTAGTTAATCACCATGATACCACTAAAGCTCCAAAAGATAGAGCATAAGCCCTGTTTGTTAAAGAGTAAAAAATAGGAGACAATGACCTATTTTTTTCACTATGATACCACATTTTGTCTTGTTTGGGAATTGGGAAATGCGTGAAAATCCAGACCGCATTTTTATGTTACTCTCCATTTTTGGGTAAAATTATAGCTGCTGATTTCTCAAAAAAAAAAAAAAATGAAAAAACTCGTGTATTTTTCCATTCTTGGAGAAAACTGGAGCTGCTAATTTCTCAGGAAAATGGAGACACAACTCCCTCATCCCTCTTTCACAACAGGTTTTCATTATCTCATAGATTCTTAAGAAAAACAGCTTTCTCAGTTACCAAACACACCCTAAAGCTTGATCTTCCGGTGAAATGTGGAGATGAGGATCGACAAAGAGAGACCAAGAATCCCATGGACGCAAATGACCCTATCGCCATACTTTTCCATGGTCCATTGGATTATGATATTGTTATTGGTGAGAGAAAAAAGAGCACGCTTAAAATGGAGATAAAGTAAAAAGATAGGAATCCCAAAAAGCAAAAGGGAAGTTGAGCAGAGGAGCCAGGCTTTTTATTATCATACAATATAATCATCGTTATGAATAGGGTTTCGCATGCTTCCCATTTTCCCCTGTTTGGTAGGTGAGTTAGAAATCTCTACCCCCCTCCTCCTACTCACTCTTTTACTATATTTCTCATAATACATCACATTTAACTTACCATCTCTTTAGAGAGAAAAAGAGAGATGAATTTAACTCTAAGTCTCCAATCCCTTTCATGAATCCAATCAGATCCATCAACACCGTCCACACAGAGCAGATCAATCCATTGCAAGTCAATTTATCACCATTATCATCATCATCACCACCGTTCATGGCTTGAATGGAGGGTTTAGAGTTGAGTTTGTGACGCCTTTGTCGTTACACAGCCGAAAGCATGCTATGAATTAACTCATCGATTGTTATCTTCAATCCCTCTTTCTCTCTCTCTCTCTCTCTCTCTCTTAACATAAATGGGAAAATATTCGAGGTGGAGAATTGAGATAAGATGGAGTCGCTTTTACTCGATTGGGACTCTCTCTCCAACTTTCTCTCTCTAAAACTACAAGAGTTGGAGGAAGATAGAGAGAGAAACAATAATTGAGAAAGTATGGAGAAATGCAGGGTAACCCCAGAATAGTGTGGTGGGCGCGGGAGCACCAGAGGTGGACATGCTTTCGATCCAAGACTCGTCGCCTAGCATGACGCCTGCTTCTCCACCTCCTGTTACCGTTACCGTTCCTGTGTCTGTTTCTGTCGACTGTGGCGAGGGGTCCTTTGAGGCCTTCTGACTGAAAAAACCACCATTTTTTTCACATCAGATGCCAAATGGCGTCATAAGAGAGAGAGGGGATAATTACTTTAGAGAGAGAAAGAGAAGAATGGCAT